ATTTTCTATTGTGTTCAACACTTTTGTATATATCAGAACGCAGTGCTGTAAACGAATTTACCCGTAACGACAAGTCAACGGTAATACCAAAACTTCCAAAATTAAAACCCCATACTTTAGTCCCCAGTCCCACACGGTCAACTCGAATGTAATTTATAACGAATGACATTTGAACGATCGGCCAATCGATCAGCGCGCTACACTCCGAGCGTGGGGCGTGTTCCACGCGCGACAGATCGCGAGCCGATTCGTCGATCACACGAATGTCATTCGTTCTAAATGGCATTCGAGTTGCCCGTGTGGCACGGTCACGGACGTCCAAATTCTGTTTGGTGTTCTTTGAAGTAAACACGTTTTATTTTGGATGCCGCCGACTGCATTTTGACACGTCGGTCGGTCGGCGAGTGTGTGCGCGCGGTCGGGTGCTCGGCGGCGTGGCGGTGTACTCGCTGGTGCGTGTCGACGTGCCGCCTGTTGCCGACATCCAGAAAGTTTCCCAATTTCGTTCGCCCGATGCGGTCGGTCACTCCTGTTGCAAAATAAGATTCGTAGTGACTACAGTGCCGTCCGACGGCACTTTTGCAAAGCGTTCAAGTGCCGCCCGACGGTACTCCACTCCACTTACGGCACTCTTATACAAAATAAATTGTCACAAAAAAGAAGCAGCTTCAAATTGTGTAGCGTAGCTTAGCGGTTAAGATGTCTGATTCATACGCAAGTGGTCGTGAGATCGAACCCCAGTAGGCAGTTGCTCTTTTTTTTTTCTTCGCACATTTTGTTTTGCCATTTGGCGGTATTCGCGACAATAATATTTTTACGAACAACACTGAAAGAAAAAAAAAAGAATGTTGTCGACGACAGTGCTAAAAGCGCGAGCTATAGTTGCTTTGGATCACGCGGCACGAGCGCTCCTGCAGCGGGCACGTCAGGGCTGCTCGCTCGCAGCTTGCACGGCCTTCGCAGCTGTTCTATGCAAGGGTCCGTCGCATTACACACAGGTACAGCTCCAAAAAAATGCGTACAAAATTATTGCGGCTGGACTCCGTCGCTTCCGGTACACGTAATCTTCATTTGCAGCAAGAGTTACGGACGGCACCGGGCGAAGTTTGAAAGTGGAGAATCGCTTATTTTGATGTTCCTGAGAACGCGACGAGTACAGGCGGCAACGTCGACAACACGCACCAGCACGGACACCGCCGAGCCGCCGAGGACCCGGCCACACACACACACCGGGCGACCGACATTTCAAAATGCCGCCAGCGGCATCCAAAGAAAACGTGCCGTTGATTTTTTATTCAATTTTATTGCGCCTACGCGTAATCTCACCACTTGCATCCTTCAGAGTATTTTATATTGGGAACAGCAGCCATGCAAGCAGCTAGCCGAAAAAATGCACAAAAAATAAATATTATGTGAAGGAGGATGAAGTAATAATTAAATGCATTTGGTAGTCAGATGTGAGTATTCCTTTTCTTTGCTAGCTTTCCGTCAATTGTTCAGCTGACCGTTCACAATCAAAAGTATTATTTCAATACGCAAACAAAAAATTACATGGGCACACAATAAAACTCCAAACAAAATAGACTCGTCCATGAGAGGAAGCGAAAACCCACTACCTGAAGCGCTAGAAGCCGACACGTTATCTGTACTATCACAGCACCCGTGTGAATGTTGCGGTGCTTAAAACTCGGGACGGAGACCCGATCGCCCCCCCCCCCCCCCCCCCCCCGTACGTAGCCTCTGCCTCGTTCACGTGCACCGATATCCTGTACAACTCCCATACGCACAATCGCTTTCTCCTTGTTATTTTCACAAACGTACCGAAAGACAGGCAGTCTGCAGCTATGCCACAGCCAAGACTCTCCATTCCCACCACATCTATACTTTGTTCACCCCTAAGCTGACAGGGGATTGGAGGCTGCATCCTTGCCGGCCAACCAATTTCCGGTCTTTATTGCCCGACTTCACTTTCTGTGCACAGTTCGCAGAGATTGTGATCACGTGGTGCAAGGCCCATGTTTTACTGGTCCAACAAGCATGTTTCTTCTACCGCCCTGTCACCTTATGGGTGAACAAGGCCTAGTGCACACACAACATAATTGCCAAGAAAAGCCCGACTCCTCAGCTCGCATTTGACAGAGTCCAAAGGACTCTCTGTGAAGTGCGAGTTGAGGAGTCGGGCTTCTCCAGCCGTCTTGCTCTCCTAATGTTGGTGACCCTGCTGCAGAAACTCGATAAAAACGAACGGCATTGGCAAAAGGGTGTACGACACATTGACTAGGATTGTACCACCTACAAAGCACGGCGAGGAGATTCTCTTCACAACATCCCTGAGAAATATCGCCCAGCATCGTTCATGGATTTGGTTGTGTTCTCTCACACAGCTGAACCGAACGACCAAATTACTTCTGACTCCTCTGTTTGTAGTAGGCAGTATTTGTCCTGACATGGGACGGATCTGGCTAGCTACTGAGACTGTAGGGAGGAGAACTGAGATATGACTTGGACAGCAAAACCAGGCTGCGATGGCGGCAGCATTGACGCTACCGAAAACAGCTGGTGGCCACTGCTCTTCTGTAAGTAGCACTATAGTGCTATTCGCTGAACAGCAGTAGCGCTGCAGTCAAATGAAGTTATGCTGGCCAGAGCACCCCAAATCTCCACTGAATCATTGCACATTATGTTTGTCATTTTGATCCCATGCCTTTTCGTGCAACAAAAGTGGAGACAGGGCATTTTATAAAATTTGTGCTAGTGCAGCAAAGACGAGGACGAAGGGAGGACAGGACACGAATGAGGCGCAACATCCAACTGATTTTTATTGAAATGTATGTTCCGGTATTTGTACCATCGTCACAAAACAACAATTACAGAGCACGCGTAAGGAACAGCATTATCTCGCTCTCAGGAAAGCAAGTTTCTTCTCAGAAAGCGCTGTAGCGACGCATGCATCGCCTAAGTAATCAATGCGTTCGGCTTCTACAATCTCACGTGTTATCGTAGCCTTGCGTTTTCCAATTTTAACGCACTAATCCAACATTGGGGGACAACCACATGCCCTGCAGTGTATATCAAGAAAGCCACTTTGTTTTTGCACATTGTCACAGCGTTCGTGAAGCCAGTCATTGATGCAGCACCCCATCTGCTCGACGTAATACTTGCCACAGGACAGGAGAATGCAAGACACCACGCAATCTGTGCAGTCGACATTTTTGTTCGGTGCTTCTTTTTGCATCCGTGTTTGGCAGGCACGTCAGGCTTTGTTAGTTTGCATAGGTTCATGAGCTTATTGGGCGTGGAAAACACTTACCTTCTGTGTTTGACCACATTGCTATTTTCTTCAAATTGTGCGACATTCGGTGAATATACAGTATCACAAAAACTTTTTCTTTCTGTCTAACCTGCTGGCTCCTACTGTTCTCTTTGAGACGGTGCTTTGCCAGAAGGCACTCAGCAACTGCAACACGAATGTGCTCAGGGGACCTAGCTGCAGCCATCCACACTACTTGCTGCTCAAAACCGACAGAGGTCAAATGCTTACAGGACTTTTTTAGTGCACGAGTGTTTCTGAGGTTGGCTACACGGTTATGTGTGTAAGACCGCACCAAAACACATTTTTTACATTCTCCCATAATTTTTGAACAAATTATCCACTACGCAACATGTAAATTTATGCTAGTATGTGTAAATAACGTGTATTTCACCCCAAAATATTCGCCAAACACACGGGACTTGCTAACAGTGTACCTTCATGGCAAATTGCACTGTCGGAGCGCACGCGAGTGATTTTTGAGATTTATTTAAAGTGGGTTAGATCCATTTGGCCAATCTTGTAGCAGGAGAAAAAGGCTTAGACGGATTTCGTCCATAGACAAAACCGATTAGCTTTTGCCTGTTTTGCTCCGTGCAACGACATAATTGCTAGCTTCATACTGACCTCATGAACACAACAGACAGAGAATCACGATCAGTAAATCCTAAAGTGGACTTTCTTATCATCGTTCTACATTAAGTAGGCTTCCCTCCAGAAGAAATATTAGAAAGACTCAATAATGTGCTTAAACTTCTATCGAAGTGGTAAAACCCCTGCGGCTGTTCGACAGGAAATATTTGGGCAACACGAAAAATGTCAAAATTTACAAAAAATGATCTCGGAGTTGCTCGCGGCCGTTTGATTGATTGACAGCACCATGGTGCTGTCAATTCGTTTTCTCGGGTTTTGGAGACAGTGTAACGCTATTGAAGATGCCACAGAAAAGGGTGCTAGAAAGAATTAAGTAAGCAAAAAAATTTGACTTGATAGCACCTAGAAGAGCTTCCAATATCTCCATAAAACCTTCATATCACAAAGAAAAAAAAACAAAGACATTGGTGGCATAGAGGGCACTAAATGCAAGGTGCCATCTCCAGATAAGACATTTTATTGCCCAAAAAAGGGACGTTTTGCATTGTTTTCCATTTGAAAAAGTGTAGACATCAAAGAGAGAAGACGCAGCAAGCTGCATGGGAGCATGCAGAGCAACCCTATCTATCTCGACGAAAACCTTCAACAGCGGTTGAAGCTCCCAACACATCTAGAGTGGAAGCCCACGTAACAAGTAACAACCTGCACGAGTGTTTGTAAAAAAAAGTTACGTATGAAAGAAACGTTCCGCCGCAGCTAGCACTTTTCAAACGTCTGCATGGACACCGTACACAAAGTATGAGCCACTTCGCAGCCTGCATGAGCGGAGCAAATGTTCTAGACGAAAGAAACAACACACTGCAGCTAGCACTTTCCAGACCTCTGCACGGACACCACAGGCAGGGTATGAACCAGATAACAACATACACAAGTGAAGAAAAAGTCGTAGGCGAAGGCAACATCCCGCCACAGCAAGGGCTCTTCAAGCGTCTGCAAGGACACTGCACACAACACACAGCAAATCACACAATAGTTTGCAGAGCAAAAGTTTGCCACGAAGAAAACTTAACCTTGTTCTTGGCACATGAATATTCTAGCAAACGTCCCAGTGACCCAGTGGCTTCACCTAAATATCAGTTCAGGTGAAGAAGCGGTAATATGACATGTCCTTCCTTGTACTTGAGCATCACGCATTGTACTCCCTCCAGGATATCCGAAAGAGGCCAGACCTTGGTCCCCTGTCTAAAGGTATCACACCTCCAGACGCCAAGCTCCGATGACTTCATGGGAACCTTGAAGAAGTCTCTTGCATTTGGCAAGATGCCTCCCTTGAAACTGTCTTGAAGGATCTCAAGGACGACAACAGGTGACTTGTTCAGCATGAAGACGTCCCCTGGCTTGACAGACTTCTGCACTTCTTTCGTTAGCATGTGGGAAACGTCTCGGACTTCAGACAACCTCCTGCTAAGCTGTGCAAGTGGCTCACGGGGGGATCGAAGCTTCTTCTTTATCTTCCCCAGGTAGCTTTCGAATGGGAAAGCACTAAACTCATCTAGAGGGCCATGATCCAGGCACTGGTCGGCAAGGTGGATGAGGCTGTGAACATTATAAACAAGCTGTTTCTCTCCGTAAAGACCACCAAACTCTTGTACGAAGTATCTGAGCAAGTCCCGGGCAAATCTGCTGTAGGTTGTGTGGTGTTCTGGTGATGTAAGTATTTTCACTGCCACATGGAACATCAGGAAATGCTCATACTGCTTATTTGGCAGCAAAGACCTCAGAAGCACTGGCCCTACATAGAGCAGAAAGGTCCTAAACTCAGTTGCCTTCCAGCGGTCCAGTTCTTCTGTGCCTCTCGGCTTCCTCTGGAAACACGATGGAAAGGACATGGCTGACTGTCGCAGTCCTTCGTTGAGGCGGTTTCGTTGCTCTCTGCTCAACCTCGTCTTGTGTCCCTGGCAGACCCAATTGCGGAGAAGTCGGCGCATGACGCCTAAGCATATGAGGTGCATATACTCCGTCGGGAATAGTGACACCATGTCTACATTGAGCGTCAAAAACGGAGACAGGCCAGTGTGGTGGTGCTCATCGTCCTGGGCCCGGAATGATGCGTTTGTTCGCTCTGGTGCATACAAGTCTGGAAATGTCACCCGTCTATCAGTGTGTTGGCCTTTCTGGATGCACCGTTCACAAGCATGGTAGCCTGTATGTCCAATTACGGCTTTGACAAAACTTCGGGCAGGAGCATCGCACACCATCGCTGTTAGACTGACGTCAACGTGGATGCCCTTGATCACCATCCCATTAGAGGTGAGGTGAGAGACTTCTTCTAGGAACGGATGAAGGTAGTCTTGGAGGCTCGGCGGCTTCCCTTTGCCACAGTAGACACTCACCATAAATGGTGCAGACGCCTTGATGTTTGTTATGCGGCACAATATTGGCCAGAGGCCAACCTGGCTACTTTTGTATAACGGCAGCCCATCAATGTTGCCGTGGAGCTTCAGCTCGCGTGGAACAGGTGCGGTCCCCAAAGCTTGACGTATGCCTACCTCGAGGCCAAAGTGCGCAAAGGAACGATCGCTATCTAGCTTCGCTTTGCGTTCGGTCCGCATAACTGTGCGGGCATCTTTTGGAAGGTCGGGAATTCCTCGGCGACGGCAAAAATCTAGTACCTCGTTTATGTTGGCGTGGGTCATGTTGTGCCTGCCGGCGATCAAGGCGAACTCCTCGCTTGCAGAAAGTTCTTGCTCTGGAGGTCTATCATTGCAAGGTCCAGCGAAATAAGAACATCTTCCCTCTTGGTCCGAGTCTCCGGAGGACTGAGTGGAGGTGTCTGAGGAGTCAGTGGTCGAGCGCTGCTCCCCGTCTTCATTTGTCTCGCTCTCTCCAGAGCTCTCGTCACTTGACATGGCCTGCGCAGTTTCATTGTTGCTACCTGGGTCGTTCTCCGTAGGCTGTTCCGAGGTGCCTTCGTCACAATCAACAATGCCTGAAAAAGTGGCTGGTCCGCTGCCACTGGCGCAAGCGTCGTTCGTGAAGGTATCAATTCGTGGTCTTTTGTTGCTCGGGCACTTCGGTGGCGGAAGTGGAGGCACGGTTTGTTGCGAGACGCCAAGCTCCGCAAGGATCTCGTCGTACTCCTCCTTGACGGTTCGATATTTTTTATATTTCGAGAACATACCGAAAGACGTGAAGCAGAGATTAAATAAGAAAATTAACACTACGGCAAATACAACGGAGCGGGCATACGGATGGTTCAGCGCAGGCGGTGGACTTTAGCGCAACAGATTAGCAGACGCTGGATTGTGGATTGGATTCGGATCTGTAATGAAACTGACTGTATATGTTAAAAAAAAAAAAAAACGAAAACGATTTTATTTTACATTTTTGGAAGCCGGAGGGGGCGGACGAAAAAGGGAATAATGCACGGGACGTCTCAAACGCAGCTACTAATTTTATTGGCACAGTCCTTTCTATACCACTCTCCCGCACGCCAACCCAGAACGATTTTATCTACTCCATGTCTGAGACGGCTTCTCAATTAAACAAATTACTTCATAAGGCGGAAATCCAGAAACGAAAAAAAAAACAAAACAAAATATATATATATATATATTAGTTAAACGCGTGAAACTGCTTGAAACACACCATTTCAGAACGAGTTCCAGAGTTCCTGGCGCAGTACCCAGCGTGCCGAGCAAGTGCCCAGACAGCACCCACCCATAACGTGTTCAAACTTACGGTTAATTACGACTGCATATTTCGTATTTTAGTAATGTTTTATTGCTCCAAATAACGTTTTCATTAAGAAATGTTTTGATTTTACAATAATAAAATTTTGTGTTTTAGTGCAAAGGTGGCGCTGTGGTCGAGTACGGGCCAGAACACATCCCGGATCCCGGATGTGAGGGCCGTTGTGTTTCTGTGTGTCCTTGTCAGGGAGCTGTCAAACGTTTTCCCTGCTTTGTTTTCGACCGTGTTCCTTGCTACGTTTTCGACGTTCACGCTGCGACCCGTCATCTGCGTGAGTATGCACATAATTTTTAATATGTTGCATGTTTACACTTTGGGTTAAGCGTTACCTCGTGCGTTTCAACAATAGTTCTTAATATGTTGCAGGTTTACACTTTTGGTTAAGCCTTACCTCGTGCGTTTCAACGAGCGGAAAGCCGCGCCGTGTTTTAGGGTCGGAGCAATATAGGCGCGGCCCCGAATGGCTCCAGGCTTTGACAGTTGCTCCTCTGCACGGGATTTTGTACAGCCAATGTTTTAACTTGTGCGACGAGGTCGCGCTTAAGGGGAGACGCGGGTCTTCAAATATCCAAAAAATCGCAAAACTTGCCATTCTTCAAAATTCACGATTTTGAGGTCTATATAGTCCAGAGTTTGTCCTCACAAAATATAAATGCTCAATTCAATCTCTAAATAGGAAAATAATGACAATTTGTAAGCGTTGACAGACCCGACTTGAAGCCTAAATTCTGAAATGTCAATAAAGTTCAAGCCGTCTGAGCTCTGCAACGGCTCAACCGATTGCAGCCATCTTGGTCTTGTTCGAAAGCTGGTTTCCCGCGCTTATTTTTCCCGCGCTCCAAAGCGGCGTACCCTTCAAAGCCGTGGCGTCATCGATGCCGGACGAAAGGCCGTCACCAGCGCTAGAAAGGCGCTGATTGGGCAAAGCGCGCGCTCCTCCGAGGCGCAGCTCTCTCATTGGCCAAGACGCGCGCTTCCTCTCCTGGCTTCCCCGGCGCGACGTCCAAGTCGCTCCGCGGGCTCCCGCGTCGTCTGCTTTCCCTCGCTTCGCCGTTCGAGGCGCACGTTACATTCGGATTTCTCCACTTTCTCTATCAATATTTTCAGTGTTTTCTTGTGCTTCCTAGTATTTAGTAGGTTCCCTGTCTTCCTCGCATGGTTCGTGTAATTATTTTGATGCCTCCTCTTTGTTTGGCTTTGCTTTTTCCTTTCTGCGCCGTTGTTCTTTGTTTCGTTCTGCGCACTTCGATGGTTGGGGACGCCGGTTTGAAACTTAACACGCAGAGACTAAACAGAAAGAGGAGACGTGCCTAGACCTCCGCATTGACAAAAACATTCCGCTTCGCCGATGCGCAAGTCTCTCTACCGCTGGTGGAAGCGACTGGATCAAGTTCGTATTCGACAACTTCGCCGATGCCTAGGGGGAAAAAACAACAAAATAAAAAGCCCTCAGGGCTAACCAATTGTTGCATATGAGGCTGCTTTCCCTACCCGTGTCTCTTTTTTAGTATGCAATTCTAACCAAAGGCATCCCATCAAAACATTGTTACTTATGCATATCCAAATTTCGAAGTCTATTACCCCAGCTTTGTTTTTTTTTTTTTTTTTTTCAGCATAGGCTTTTGATTAACTTGCGCTCAACCGATTTTCATAAACTCTGTACAATTTTCTTTGGAATGAACTAGGCTGCAAGCTAAAGCAACTTTTATATGATATTTAGGTATATAGAACTGGCATTTCATTATTAGACATTCTTATAGCCTCTATTATATGACTTCTGTTCACTTTAATTCTTTTACATGATTATATTGTGCTAAAGAAACAAAAATAGCTTTGCTTGTATGGTATTTCTTTAGGAAGCAAGTGATACCTTTTTTGCATTAAAATTTTAATAGGTTTTTTTTTTAAACCCATGCTCAAATTAGCTAATTAATATTTTATATTGTTGATAACTTTTGAAAAAGAAGAGATATCTGAAATCTGATAGCAGTTATGGAATCAGCATAGTAAACTGCATGCCTATGCGAAACATCACTGACATACCAATAAACAATAAAATATTGTGCCGCACTTCCTCCCAGTGTGATTTTATAACATTTCACTAATTCTTTAGTTTTATCATATTTTTTCCTAATGTTACGATGAATGGATTACGTCATTTTTTATGTCGAGTTGTTCAGGAAGACTTACACTTCACCTTGATTTATTGTTTATCATTCTTCACACAATTTTCTATGTTCAATATCAAAACTTTAACTTCGATTTTCTCATCTTCGTGTTTTTTGTCAGCATGCTTAGCCTTACAGGTTTTTTCATTAGGTTTTTATCGCAGCATTCTGGAAACTTTGATACTGTTTTATTCAGAAAGCACTGGACTACGGAGTAAAGCTATTTTTTTAGTCTAGAGTTAAAAAAAATTTATGATAAATAATGTTACCTCGTTAATGTCATAATTGGCATAATTAGCCAATTTTTATATAATATTTTCATTTTGTGAAAATTTAAATAGCTTTATAATGCATGGCAGACCTTTAGCTATGCATCTACATTAATAAAAAAAAATATTTTTTGTTGGAAATGGCCTTAACGACTCGTAAGAAATTACCAAATTAGGCAACGCTATTTTTAATAACTTGAGAACTACTTAAGATATTTTAAGACTGATTTCATATTTATATTGAGAAACAAGAAGCACATATGCACAGTGATTTTCATTAGAATAGCTGCAAAAATAAAAAAAGTAAATTTTAGAACCTGATGGCAGGGCCACTTGTTACTGCAAACCTGTGTCCATATTTGTTTGTGACAGGTGGTGCATGCGCTGCTCCTTGGGGAGCTCTGGAACAGGATATGCAGTTAGTAAACATGACGCCTATCTTCACTGCTTCTTCCCTGTACAGAATGAAAAAATTTGCGGTGGTGAAATTTCCACAAGAAAAAGACTGTGTGGCAGCCGTGCCCCTTTCATGGCTGTCGGAAAATCGTGCGGTCTGCCACTGGCCATCAAAAGATGCAGGCCTGGATGCTCTGGCACTGGCCAAGCAGGAGGCTTCACCAGGCACTGTGGAGGAAGGGTGGGAGCCCTTTCCAGTTGATGTACTGGGAACTTCGAGTAAGTAATTTGTGCATGTACTCTCCCTCCTTCTCTGCATGACTGCGATTACAAGTTTTATTTCTCCAAAAGGGGGTCAGAACTTCCAAGTACATGACATTTGGATTGAGACACCAGATTATCACAACTTAACACATTACAGAGTTAGTGATTTTGAGAATTTGTTACACTTCTAAGGGGATTCACATTAGACAACAAAGTTTATGGTTCGAAACAATGGAGATATGAATTAATGTCTGAATACGAATGGAGATACGAATTAGTGTCTTGATGTGTAAAGGCTGGTTCACACAGTAGCGTTAAGTGCGACTGCAACCATCTGCAACGCTTAAAACAAGATTGCCTCTGCGAGATGGCAGATCTACTCTTTCAAAATGCATGTAGACACAAACGCAGCTGCTTCCCACTGCATTTTAAAGGGATGCGGAAACAAAATTCTAGCAGTCATTTTATCGTTTACATGTCCGCTAGGCAGTGGTATCACCTCTCAAAGACCTATATTTTGTCCAAAAAAACACCAAAAGGAATTTTAAAAATAATTCAACAGTAACCAAATAACACTTCGTGGCTGCTTCAAAAGGTTCGTTGGAAGTCGTTGCATCACATGCTGCAAAAGCATCATGTGATGCAACGACTTCCAAGAAGTCTGCGGAAGCGCGGCTTACCCATTTTAGGTGGCTTAGGCTTGAACGCAATTTTTTTTAAACCTTGGCAGAGAAAGTCGGTAGAGCTGGCCACAGCGAACCAACCTACTACCTCATGCCCATGCTTTTGCTTTGCTGCACACAACTTGAGAGATGGAACATATATAGACAAGGTCCCTGCACCGCTTCAGATCGTAGCTACACTGAGGTTGATCGTGGACTATGATTAGGCACGAGTGCCGCGTCAGTGTTTGGCTGGCACTCATGTTCAATCAGCATGTCGAAGGTCGGACGAAGACGAAGCAGAGGGATCGTTGACGTATGACTGCAGGTCAAAGCTCCTCTCCGAAAACATGTCACGAGAGCAGGATCCTCGTCCTCGCTGACATCGTTAGCACCAAGGTAGTCGTTTCGGTACTCGTTCGATTGAGCCATGGTTATGGAATCGGTCCTGGCACAATCAAAGTGGGAACAGCTGCCAATATGCACGACTCGCGCATGATAACACTTTGCATATGTGTGGGGTTGTCTTTAATTCCAAGTTAGTCTACGTTGCGCACGTCCTCGAACTTTAGGCTTTTTTCAGCTCTCTGCACAAGCGGGTCCAACGTTCGTTAGGCCTATCACATCTTCAGAGAGCCCTCCTTGCGCTGCATTGCACAGACTCGCTTGATTGAGCACACGGACGTTACGTCGCACACCAACACAAATCACGAGAACACCACACCACAGAAGTGGTTCAGATCGCAGTGCACAACGCACACACACACGGTTCGACTGGTTGACTCGTCCTTCGCTGCAATCTCGCCTGTGCCGCTGGGTGACGGAGCCACGGAGCTCTCGCTGGGTTGCGATTTCTCTTGAGCTTTGGTTATCTCACACGGCTGAGTTGCAACATGCTGACGCCTCCATGTGGCAAACGTGATTATCATGGCAGCCTCCATGTAGCTTTGCCCATACTCGGAGCTATGACATCATGGATATCACTGAACATCCCAGCTTGCATTGCACCCTCCGACCGCCGCTCATCAAGTGCCAGCAAGATTCTGGCGTTGGGAACGGAAATTAGATCGACCCGCAAGAAATACCATCGTGCCATTGTCATCTACGTACAATAGGGATCGCATTTTGCTTGTTTCTAAACAAAATACCGTATAATTGCACGTAAGGGCTGCGCCCATGTAAGAGTCGTACCCCCGTATATAGGACAAAGTATTGCAAAAAAAAAATATTTACAGAAATTATTTGTGTATGGGCCGCACCCCCTCGCTTTCGAGGCGCGCCGACTGTAACACCACGTTTCTATGAACATATATGGCTACGTGGCGCTAGCCACCGCCTGAGCACATAGCGGCACGTGTCCGCATCCCCGATATTTGCTCTCCACTCATCTGTATCACCGTATGGCACAATGGCTGTCGACCTTGATCGTGGTCGGCCGCATTGTCAAGATGCGTTTATGTTGCGGCAAGGCATTGAGAAAAGATAAAGGATATGTCAGTTTACGTGGCAAGCGTGAGGAATGGGAATTCAGTGGGCTGGGCTTGTGCGTGCACTCGGGTTTCCGAACGCCACTGTACGCTCTGGGTAGGTATCCTTTTGTTCTTCGATTAATGTCAAAGTGTCTTGATTTGTCTGCATTTTCGCGCAATCTGAGAGCTATGCGCAAGTACCACTTCAACAGTCATACGCGATTCGAGCGGAAAGTTGTCGCGCATGCTATCAAATACGGCAAAAAAGAAAAAAAGTGTATTGTGCAGTATGTAAACTAATTAAGTCCGACTGCCGATTGAGTCCGGATACCACAGTGGGGGCGTTTCCGACCAGTGCAGCCGAGCGCGCTCATGTACGTTCATTTTGAAATGTGGATACAGATTTTTTTTTTTATCTGTGTATAGGCTGCATTTTGAAAATTTGCCCTCAAATCGGGAAAATAGTGCGGTCCTTACACGGGTATACGGTAGCTAAACATCAATTTTCGTTTCAGTACCCCTTTAAAACGGCAAATGCATTGGTAATGCTGCCATAGGCATGTTCTCGCAAACCCGCTATCTTAAGTGTCACAAGCGATTGCAGTCGCCCTCTGTTGGACTCAACGCGATTAACCGTGTCAGCCAGCCTTAAGTCTTCATGTATAGTAAGTGGAGACCTCTTTTACATCGATGGAACTGCTGCAGCAATTGCGTCCTTTGCTCAAAATGACTTATATATCTACCATGCTCATACAAAAGTAAAACAAAATAAGAGCAAAGTTGCTAAAAAAATCTGTCCAGGTCCCACCAAAATTTCAAGTTCCTGCTGGTAACATAATACCAGCTTAGAGGGTAGATTCTTGAAAGTATCGATTTTCCACTGGCTTTTAGCTTGGTTGCATGGGGTTGGTGAAAATCTATAGTGCAGCGCATTGTAATTTGTTTGTATGAAGAAGCAGGTTTTTTTGTTTCTATAAAGGAGGCACTTAAATTTAATTTTCCTTACAGGCACCTACCAAAGAGCAGAGAAAAAGCTTACCAAGTGGATACACACATGTTCCATTGAGTCCTCGGAGATTTCCGGTGATCAGAGTTTAAATTTTTTATAGAAAGATGGTGGGAAATAATGAACTGTATTCTAATGGGCATATATATTTTACTACCTAGACAATGCAGTACCGGTAGAAAGGAGAGCAGAGGCGACTCATCCCCGTCTGCAGATACCAGTACTATGTAAGTAATAAATAAAAATATTTATTGTGCTGTTTTACTGAAGGGCTCTTTACGATAATATTTGCCTTCAGTATTTTCAACTAAACGCATTTGAATGAAGGGGGTTCTTCACATTCATACCTCAAGGGTTTCTGTTGCCCCCCTGTCCCCTCCCCTCGAAAGGGCACAACCTTTAACGCCCAAAATATCCCTCATCTTGGTTGCAAGGTGATGGCCATAGTCTGAAGCTTATTCATCAGTTTTGCTTGTGCCCTAGACCCGTAAACGCATCATATGCTTTAGCAGCCCAGCTGAGCTCTCTACGTGAACAATCTCACTGTCGAAATTGTTCCTGCTTTAAAGGACACATGCAAAGGAAAAAAAGCATTTTTTTAAACAGCTTAGAATGAAAAAGGATGTCATGAAATGATTTTACAACAAAGAAAAATTTTTAGAGCTATATTTACGACGCTATACGAGTTTGTAGTTGGCGCCCATCGGGAGCCGCCGCTGGTCACGTGGTAGGCCCGCCGTGCTGCGTCGGCGCCGCACGTTGCGCGTTGTGCGGACGCCGCTTCAACGTGTTTCTCCACGCTGCCGTCGGCGCCGCAGCACAAGGGCCGCCGTCTGACCGGCACACAGGTCTATCACGTCTGCTTGCGCTTTGTCAGGAGTTTCCTTTGGACTTTAAAAGTTACCTATTAATCTTAGTTTTTTTGTTATACTTCAAACAAAGATGAATAAGTTAACTTTTAGACGCCACACGAAGCTTCCGAAAGAGCGCAAGCACCACGTGATAAATAAAGGCCAGTCACGTGACATAGAGGGGCCACTTTTCCGCCGGCGGTTGCCAACCACAAATTCGTATAGCGCCGTAAGCATAGCTCTACAAATTCTTTTCTTCGTTGTAATATTGTTTTACGACATACTTTTTTCATTAAGCTGTTAAAAAAATGTTTTTTTCCTTTGCATGTGTCCTTTAAGATGTGCTCTTCTCATTTAGCTTACTCTGAATCTTGGGGAGAAGCAACCGGAGATCGAGATATAGAGGTTACACCTTTTTCTTCTAAACAATTGGTGGGTCAACGAACTGTGACAAGTGCAGGAGGTATGCTTTGCTGCGTAGTTACTTTAACATAGACTAGAAGGTTAGAAAAAGATAGACAGAAAAGAGTACAACATACATGTGAAGGCACAGACAAACCTTTAGGTAGAAGGAAGGGAAAAAAATAAGCAGTTCTTATTCCGCACCTTCACATGTACGTCATGTTTTTTTCTGTCTGTTTTTTAACCTTCAAGTCGACGTGTTTGTTATTGTGCAACTACGCAGTGCAGCATACCTCAGGACCTTGTTTTAGAGTGATTTCAACCCTTTCTTTTTTTCGCACCAAAAAGCATGCCCACGAGGAAAGATGCTTGTTTTTATTTGTGGCTTTGCAGCATGGATACACTATATATATTTCACTTGTTCTCTTAAGTATGTTTTGGGCTAGGCATTATAAAAAATCCACAACCTCCATAATCTTCCAGTAATGGAAGCATAGGTAGTGCTTGTGCATTCACTAAACAACAGTAATCATTAGTGTTGTGACAGGAATTGGGGGTGCCCAGCTAGCACTTCTTGCTGCTAATGTTTCTTGTTATTCAGCCCCACAGGCCCCATCAAGCTCCTGTTCAAGTGACGGTCCTGGTGATTCTGCTCCGGCATCGAAGCAGGAGTCACAGCGGGTTGAAGAGCCTTCACAGATCCAGGCGAATGATGGAGCAACCCGTGAGTCTTCATTTATTCTTAAACAGTTACGGCCTACATTGGTTGAAGGCTGAGTCAGTTCTGTCATATAGGTAACGTAAGAAGGGCTGACTGCAGGCACATATCCAAGGGAGCGGCCCGGCCCCCCTCCCCCCCCCCCCCGAAATTTTCCATTTTGCTGGGACCTCCTCTCCCCCCTCCCCCATACAGCATTTTGACATGGGCGGGCCACCCCCAAAACAAAATCCTGGCTATGTGCCTGGCTGACTGTACCATCTTCTTCCTTGCTCAGGCTTAATTTTGCCAGGAAATGCAAACAGTAAGGCTGTGCTTCCTAGAAGATTGATGGAACCACCCTTTGCAAATCACCAAGTGGGTGGTGTTCAAACAAAACCGGGAGAAAAGCTCACCCAAATTATTGGGGATCTAGAGAAAAGCCTGCTTCGTTTTGATTCTACTTAGAAAAAAAGCTCTCCTGCAATCTAAGTTTTTGTTTAACAATGGGGAGTTTATTTTGTTGGGCCTGCACTTGGGGCGGTATCAGGATCAGGTCTCCAAAAACAAGCTACTAACCCGGATGCGGAGACTACGAACATCTCGCAGCTGGTGCTAAAAAGCTGATCGCTATTGTATGTTTCGGTAAACAGCCTATGAACCGCTGAAATTGCAATTTACTATGCTTCATTTATTTTTATAGTCCTTAATTCTGTTATATAAAAATATTTCATTTTATATTTGTCACTGAACCTACGGCACCTCTAAATGTAAGTCCGTCTCTTCAAAAGAATCGTAGAAAAACTGCATGCATGTAAAGGCTTTGAGACCTTTCAGTTAAAGGGGAACACTGCTTCTTTAGGTTTTTTCTTATTTACGGTCCAGCCCAAATGAAATTTATAGAGCATAATCATCTTCCCATTCTGATGACAAATATTTACTTTGTTTCAAAATAGCTTGGTTAGTTTTGATAAAATTAACTCTTTTATTTAAACATTTTATGGGCGAGATTCCAAAAAATTATGATGACGAAACTCAAAAAGGAATATATCTCTGTAAACTAGAAGGTCTATAGAATCCAATAAGGTATAAATAAAGGCTCCATGATTTTTTATAACGTTTTTACAGCATTTCGAAATTTTCAGTTTATAAATTATTTTTTACAATATATTCGAGGTGCTAACAAAAAATACTGTCCCTCCTTCTACTTGTCCTTGTGTTTGTTTGCGCTGTTTTATTTCTAAGTTTACAATGCATCACCGACTAGCCCACCTCCAAACATTAGGAAGATCGGTTGTGTACAGGCCGAGATACGGCTTCCGCAAAATAACAAACTGCGCAAAAAGTTCATTTCGAGAAAACAGCGAAAAACGTTCTCGTACATATTTTTACTGCACTTTCCAAAAATTCTTCATCTATCTACAAGGTAGAGGTTTAGTAGCCACCAGGAGATTTACTGCAAGTCCATAGTCGTGATCGCATTTTATGAGTTGGACATCGCCGCAACAAACTTCGCGAGTTGAAGGAGCGCGTTCACAACGTCGAGGCTTACGACGATGGAACCCTCTGTACTCTAGGGAGCTTCTTGATCGGCGCCCGAGACGCCAGCCATCAGAGCAGCTTTCCGCGTCGACGAAAGTTTTTTGAGTTTTTCCTCTGCTTTTTTTTCTTTCTCGTCGATCTCGGAAGCGCTGAGCATCACAGTGTCGAGCCGCACTCGCTCGCTTGAAGTCACCAATGTCGACGGCGCCGTCGATGCGTCATCTTCGTGTTCGGGCTCCCGCACCTCGTCGTCGACGTTCAGGCTCGCGGGAAGTTGAACTGCGCCGTGGATTAGCTTCCTCAGGCCTTTTTTTTCCGTTTTTTTCCAAACTTGTGGGCCGTTTGAAACTTTTTCCGTGGAGTTGTTGTGCTCGGCATGGTCGGAGACGCGCACGAGAATCAAACAAGATGGCGGATCGGAAACAACGAGCAGACGCTGCGTAACCCTAACAGCCAATGAGAAAGCGTCATTTGCACACATGATCCGAAACAGCCAACAGCGTGGCAAGATTTAGTTTTTTATTTGTGTTTCGTTCTCAGCGGCCAATCGCCGTCTAGCATCGTGAATGGCGGGAGAAGAAAGAGCGGGAACAGAGCTTTCAAATGAGACCAAGATGTCTCCCTTCTATCGCGTTGTTCTCGAGCTAAAGGCGGTCAAATTGTACCATTTTTTTGCTTGTTTGGGAGGAAGCATCTCCGTTTAGATACTTCAAATCAATACTCCAAAATAAATAGGGCATATTTTGCGATAATACTTAGAGAAAAGATGCGAAAATACCTGTAGATGTTAAAAAACATAGTTTCAAAAATGTGATTCTTTTTTTCATTTTTTCTTTCGTTTCAAGGAGCCGTGTCCCCCCTTAAATCAGTGCTTGATTTCTGCTGTTTGGACCACTTGACCATTGTCCACTGCGCTGCCCCGAAGCTCCCTTGTGATGTGCTTTATACGAAAATTACAGCAGCCCATTTTTTTTCGTATTAGCTGCGCTGCATTGTCGCACCATGCTTGGCAGGGCTTTACTTTTTATATTTTCGTGGGCAAAGGGCACTGAGCGCTGGCATCTCACAAGGAAATATTTGCTTGTGTTTCAGGTGCCCAGCTGCGGATCATCCACCTGCTAGTGGAACTCCGCCACCAGAACCGTGAGATGCAGCACGAGACTATGCAGCTGAGGCTGGATGTCCAGCAGCTGTCGGACCAAATAGCAGCTCTAGAGGTGCCAACGGGGCAAGCTGCACCGATCCCGACGGCTGCGATTCTTCCACGGGAACTTCCGAGGCTGCCAGCCAGCACCCTGGAGGAGCTGGAAGCAGCGGAGGCAGCCATTCACGACGAGGCTGTAGCCACAGTCTTGGTAATAACAACATCTTGATTCTCTCTATCCCTATCTTGTATTGCTATGCGCTGTTACACACTATCTTTGATTTTTAAATTGTACACCTACTGTACAATACTGAGGAAGCGCCCACCCCTCTTCTGCTGAAGAAATGGTTAAAGGGCAACTCCGCTCAATTCCGAAAAATTTAGGCTTACATGTGATTCCATTTCACAAAGCACTACTAAACAGCTCTACGTCTTCGGATTTGCGAAATGTGAAATAATATTTGTGTAATCTTAATTTAAACATCAGCTGAAACCGGAACTTCGGTTGCATCAGGCAACATTGGCCGCGGGTCATCAGAGTCATGGCCACGTCACGTCGAACCACGTGGTCTTGTGCCGTTCGTGGGGGCGAGGAACAGGACACGCGACGTGGACAGGTCGCTTCGGATGGCGTGGATGGTGACGGCCCGGGGGAGAGGGAGAAGACGAAAGAGGAGAAGGGGAGGCAGAGAAACAGACTGATAAGTGCGCCGGGCAGCTCAAACTAGTGCATCCGCGTTACAGTGATCACGTGGACGCCGTCGAGCCAACACCGGGAGGAGAAACTCATGACGTCATCGTTCAATTTCGCTCCGAGAAGTAAAAACAAACAAAACGTGAGAATGACGTAGACATGCCTCTGACGTAGTGGCTTATCGTTGGGTGCTCCAACTCCGTCGTATTGACTGCGCTGACGATTGCGCCTCACGTCGCACTCTAGAGTTGGCAGATTTTGGCGACTTAGCTTATTTGAAAGTTCGCTGGCCAGTTTATTAAATATATAGACGGAATTAGATCGTAATATTTGATATGAGGTCTTCCTATATGATATTGAAGAGGGCTGCATAGTTTTCTAAATATCAAAAATGAAGCGGAGTTGCCTTTTAAACTTGGTATGGGCGCTTTGTCTGTCCAAGCGGTTAAAACCAAGATTGCAGCTACTGAGGCGCAGTGAATGGGGGAAGAAAGCATTTTTTTTTTAATGACAAATGATTGGTGGACAGTACTCTACCATATTTACAGTACTAGTCTACCATATTTACTTGCATACTCAATGCACTTGCATAATTAATGCACCCCCAACTTGAGCTTCAAAAACGTTGTTTTTCTCCTGTACGCATTTAACACATCCACAATATACGAAGGAAGCAACAGGATGCCACAGTGGTGCATGCCGCGTGCAGCAACAAAGCCGTCATATAAAAAGAAAGCCGGACAGCAGCCCAGAATTGCCAGGCCCCCTCAAAAATGCAAGTGGAGGATGTGCTGAGAAGAAAGAAAGCATGCGCAAATCTCGTTTATTGTGAAGACAGGATGTCACGGGAACTATGGAAGCACACGCTTCGACAGCTTCGATCCTGTGCTTGTAATCGCCGAGAGCGACTGAGTGTGTTCCGGATTTCGACATTCAGCCTGGTTTTCGATGATGTGCTTTGCACAACTAACATGTTCCGGATTGGAGATTCTGCAAGGTTTTCATTAGCGCTGCAGTGGCTACAGCCAAAGTTGTATCTACTGTAAAATACCGAGTAAGCCCCCATTTCCTAACAAGTGCCCACTACTAACATTCAAGGGCCGTGGCCCGCGCGCGGGGAATTGTGGGAGAGGCTGTCCCTCGCCTGGCCACTCTGCCTTGAGATCGCATTACCTTGTCGCTTGTCTCCTCTTAATTCTGTTTTTCGATTCCATTACCTATTTTTATCTATTCCAGTGTATTTGGTATTGCTTTTAAGTGTTTCTATTCTCTTCTGGGCATGATACTTGTATATATATAGTATTCACGTCTTTATTTTGCCTTTTTCGACGGGAGTGCCGACGAACAACACGCCGCTTCGCACGTCGTCCCCGGGTGAGTTCTACCGTTGCTACCGATTCCCATCGAGTTGTTAGCTGTTCATTTTGGTTCATTTGACTTGCGTGCGTGCGGTCGAGAGGAGCTGTTTGTGAACACCCGCGCACATGTCGTAGGGGTAGGCAGAGCTCTGAATCAACATCTTGGGACACGGCGCGAACAACAGACGCGGGCGATGAAGAAACACTCTGGACAAGCGCTGACTATCAACTGAAATATTTTAATAGGAAAACTCATAAAAACGACCATTCATCTTTTGCAGTTCACCAACCCGTCTGCGTATTACAAGACACTTGCGGCTCTAACGTCGCAATTGTTGATTCAAAGTTCTGCCTACCCCTATGACATGTACGCGGGTTAAATGAACCAAAATGAACAGTTAACAGCGCGATAGGAATCTGTAGCAACGGTAGTACTCACCCGGGTAACGACACGCGAGCAGCGTGTTGTCCGTTGGCACTCCCGTCGAAAAAGGCAACGAAGACACAAATACTGTATATATAACAGAAATATTGCGTGCAGAAGAGAATAGGAACACAAGCAATAAAAAATACGCTGGAATAGATAAAAAAGGTAATGGATTTGAAAAACACAGGATTAAGAGGAGACAAGGCAATGCCATCTCAAGGCACAGTGGCCAGGCGAGGGACAACCTCTCCCCACAATTCCTCGCGCGCGGACCTGGGCGCTTGGGAAAATTGCAAATCGTCTATTTGGAACTTGTGTTTTAAGACACATACTTCGTTTGGTTTCCGAAGCCACCAACATGTGGGTGCTGGCCTGTGGAAAATCCGTGCTGGGATATGGATTTGAAGACATGCAAAGGTGTATGATTAATGTACTAATGTTAGCTTCTTTTGTCATTTTTCATGTTTTGCAGAAGGAGCAGCTCCTCAGAATTGGAGAGAGAACACTGCTGGAAACGACAGCAAACGTCATGAAAGGTTTAATGGGCCACTCTGTCCAAGTCCTATTTTCACTGTACGGGCGGAAGGAGAAGAGGCCATTTAACAGCATGCAGCTGTGCAGAGTTCCAATTGGTAATATATTTCTAAATTTTGATCTGCAAACTTAATTCATCATTTACTGCTAGTGGCAGGCAGTGTGCTTTGCTATAGTCATTACAGCTTAAGTATTCAATGACATAGTGGACTCGAAGCATTATGCATCTGTTTTGAGTGTCTCAATCTTGTGTCAAAAAAATAGTTCGCTATGGCACGGACCCTTTTTTTTTTCCAGGATAAGGGCTTAGTTCGAAGACTATCTTTTTTATTAAAATGGTCGCTGGCACGTCGTGCTTTGTATATGCTATGTGCCAACCTCTTCTTGGATTCGTTGCAGGCAGGGATGGGCAGTATTTAAAATACAAGTACTTGAAATACGTATTTCAAATACTTTGTGTATTTTGCATTTGTATTTAATTACAAAATGGGCAATGTATTTGACGTGTGTATTTAAATACTAAAACGTGGGTATTTCAAATACAATTGTAATTAAATACAATTTTGTGGGCGAAAATACATCCCTCAAATTTATTGTCACGACTCATTTTGCTCATCCTAAGACGTGTCCAAAGCTACTCTTTCTTCATCTCAACGCCAATGGCAACAAGCCAAGAAGCTCATCTCTTCATACACCAGGGGCCCTAAACTCGTCAAACACAAAGTTGGAGCCGAAAGTTCACGGAGCGCGCCGATTGTATATGATTGGACTATACCGGCGATGACTTCGCGCTTTTTCCGCCGGCGTCCAATCAGCGCGCTCCGCGAACTTTCGGCTCCAACTTTCTGTTCGACGAGTTTAGGGCCCCAGTCCTGCGGCAGTTCGCGTCTTGCTCACCGCGGGCATTCGGCCACGCCGGGCGCCCGCGGCACTTGCCTCTATTACGTTAAATAAATGTTATTGCCGAAGTTACAATTCTTGTTTTTATGCATGTGGTTGTAATATATAGTCTCCATCCTTTATTCGGCCATGGCCGGGGCTTTTTTTTTTTTTTTTCTCCTCCGGCTTTATTTTAAAGGCACTATCCAGAGCAGGAAGAAAACTACGTTCTGCACCGAATGCAGTGTCTCTCAATCAAGCACAAGCGCTTAGTGACTTTGTGATTACGGTGCTAGTCCAGGGCAAGAATAGTGACGAAATCGACGTGCACATGCAGACTCGCTAAATAAGTGCCTGTGACAACTTGTGATGCTTTTCAGCCTGATTTCCATCCATAGTTTTGCCTGGAACATTCTAAATGCGCTGGTTGTCAGATTTTCGTAACTGCTGGTACGAGTTGCAACAATAAAAAATTCTCTAGCTAGTGCTGCTCGTCTTGGTCGTCTCGGTTCTTTGTCGGTCTATACCAAAATGTAATCGAAAAAGAAAAAGCTGCTGAAGCTGTGTACTTTTTTCACCTATTACGTCCAAACTGATTACATTTTTTTTGTGATTATATTTCTATTACGTTACTAGAGCCTCGCACATTAACTCCCGAGTGTGCGATGCAAAATTAAAATGAGATACCCAAAAACCCGTTGCAGGTGCCCTGAAGTCGCTAACGCAAATTTTGAGGAATGTATTTGGAAAAGTATTTGGAGGAGACCAAATACATTTGGTTGTATTTGTATCTTGTACTTAAATGCTTTTTTGAAAATGTAATTAGATTTGTAATTAAATACATTTTTGACGAAGTATTTTGTATTTGTATTTCGATACATATTTGCATGTATTTTGCCCATCCCTGGTTGCAGGCATTATACCAAACATGTGTCCTGGTGACTCGTGCTCGTAGCTCATACCTTGCACTTTGTGTGCTATTTTTCATTATAGTAAAAAGTCTTACTGCTATTTACAACTTGGTCACTGGGCCAGCAATATTAATGTAATGGCACCACAAATGACCCTATATAAATGTCATGGATGAAGAAAGAATAAACAATTAAAACAGGGACAACACAACCACATCTTTCAACTAGCAACAGACGAGTAAACTTTCAACAGCGAGCAGCCGACTATACCCAGTAGGAGTAGGGGAGAGAAGGAAAGATAAAACACGCGAGTTTTGCAAGTCGGGGTGGTAGCGTTATCTCGAATTTTAAAAATTCAACTTCAGTTTTCGTCAGCAGGAGGGAAGGGTTGGACACATTGTTTTTTGCTGTGGTCATGGCGAATGATTCTATGATTTCCCTGCCAAATCTGCTGTCATGCCCCCCAAGGATTTTTGTGTCATCAAAGAGGGGATGACAACGCAAACACGAACGGGCATGTATGACTATGGGACGATAAGAATCTGGAGAGGCATTAGAAACTTCGTTGTGATGTTCGCGGAGTCTGTGATTGTGCATCTGCCGGTCTGTCCTATGTATTGATGGCCACAGCTCAAGGGGATGGAGTAAACTTTCTTCTCTTTGCATGGAATGAATTTCTTTTCGTGTTTGACAGTGCATCCAATCGGAATCCGGTTGTTGTTCACTTGTTGACAGAGTTTAAGACGCATGCGGCACGAGAAGACAACATTCGTGTCGAACTTTGAGGCAAGAGATTTTATCCGGTGGGCTGAATTGTGTACATAAGGAATGACAGCGAATCGGGCTTTCTTTTTTGTGGCTGGTGACTGGCGATCAGGCCCGCGAACCATCCTTTCCATTGTCTTCTCGTGCCGCATGCGTCTTAAACAACTCTGTCAACAAGTGAACAACAACCGGATTCCAATTGGCTGCACCGTCAAACACGAAAAGAAATTCATTCCATGCAAAGAGAAGAAAGTTTACTCCATCCCCTTGAGCTGTGGCCATCAATACATAGGACAGACCGGCAGATGCACCAATCACAGACTCCGCGAACATCACAACGAAGTTTCTAAGGCCTCTCCAGATTCTTATCATCCCATAGTCATACATGCCCGTTCGTGTTTGCGTTGTCATCCCCTCTTTGATGACACAAAAATCCTTGGGGGGCATGACAGCAGATTTGGCAGGGAAATCATAGAATCATTCGCCATGACCACAGCAAAAAACAATGTGTCCAACCCTTCCCTCCTGCTGACGAAAACTGAAGTTGAATTTTTAAAATTCGAGATAACCCTACCCCCTGACTTGCAAAACTCGCGTGTTTTATCTTTCCTTCTCTCCCCTACTCCTACTGGGTATAGTCGGCTGCTCGCTGTTGAAAGTTTACTCGTCTGTTGCTAGTTGAAAGATGTGGTTGTGTTGTCCCTGTTTTAATTGTTTATTCTTTCTTCATCCATGACTTAAACCAACACGCTCTTCTACCAAGCATATCAATGTCAGTGAGCTGTTTTGAAGCATAAACAGGACCCATTTCATGACAACTCGTTCTGCATGTGGAAGAATATTCCTTTGAAAACATGATTTAAGTAAGTAAATAACTACAGACAGCAGAGAAGCAAGCAAACTCCAGTCGGGTGGCCTCGAAGTTTATTTGAGCCTGCCACGCAGCGTACCACTCCAGTGGTGATAACCACAGTATTTTCACATTGTCCCACTGATGCCGCCACAATTTTTAGACAACTTGAATCGGGGTCTAGTAGACAATGAAGAGGAGCAGATCTCGTCCTGCATATACCTCCCGGCGACTACTAAGCCTAGCGTGGACTTTGAATAATTCAGTGGCAATGCTACTGCTCCAATCTTGCAGCACTGCAAGAAGTATCCAGAAGAAAAGGGTATACAATCAGGACATACACTCGAGCGGAGAGAACAAAAAATCCCTGCGAGAAGTCACTAGTTTGCTGGGTACATCTGTAATACTGAAAGAGTTGATATTAAGAATTGCGTTGGGGTTGAGTCGCTGAATTCTGAAGCTGTAACTGACGAATTAGAAGTAGTTGTCAATTTTGTCTTGAAAGTTAGGTGTCTGCTTGCAGATGCCATTTGCGAGAAGCAAGCCGTGGATAGGACGACGGCCCTGGCCGTCATCGGCAAGTGGCTGCCCGGGTCTGTGGACCGGGGCGGTGGAAGAAAAAGGAGGTTTGCGGCAATGATTGCCGAACCTTCCGCCCAGCTCTCCGCCGAGCCCTCCGCCCAGCCTCCTGCAGAGCCTGCTGCTGACCCTGCTGCTGACCCTGCTGCTGACCCTGCTGCTGACCCTGCCTAGGTCGCCCTGGTTACGCAATTTTTTTTTATATTTTTATTTGATTTAAATAAATTATGAACTCTGAAACGTTTTGAATAATTCATTTGCATGCTTTAATGATTTCTAAAGTGTCCACATACAGTAAATTTGCTGCATTTATTAGATTGGTATTATCAGAAAGAAAACAGCTAGTACTGTTTTCTTTCTGATGCAGTCTAATACACTGGCTATTTTTTGTATCCATTGGCTATGCCATTCTTGGATGCCATTTTTCACCCAGTGCTGCAATGTTGCAGCACTGGGTGAAAAATGGCATCCAAGAATGGCATAGCCAATGGATGCAAAAAAATAGCCAGTGTATTAGACTGGATGCCAATATAGGAATAGCCAATATTGGAAGACCCAGTGTGTAAGGCGCTGGATGCCGATGTTGGTTCAGCCAACGGTGAAACATCTTATGCCAATATTGGATAAAAATGCGCAAACCACGTTGGTCCAACATGGGCTAGAACGTTGGCAAACCAGTGGTCCAACATTGGCACCAATGTTGGACCGCCATTGGATCGGGTGGCGTTTTCGAAAATGCCAACGTCAGACCAATATTGGAACCATTTTTTGCCAACATTGGGCCAATGGGGGTCCAACGCTGGTGTGCTGCCTGGGGTCCTGACTGTGGCCGACATTCCCGCAGGCTCTGCAGTACTGCACGGATCTGCGGTGGGGCCGGCATCGGGTGAACACGCTAGCCAGACATGTACAAATTACTCAAAAAAGGTAATTAAGGTAAGTTACTAAGTATCGGCGCCAAAAGTAATTGGAGTAGAGTAGAAATTACGCATTTGCAATAGTAATTGAGTAAACTACTAACTACTCTAAAAACGTAGCGAGTTACTTTGAAGTGACTTTCGAAGTTACTTTTTGATATTGAACAGCAGTTTTCATCAGTGAATGAACAGCAGTTTTGATCCGTGAAAAGCCCTGCGAGCCTAAAATAAATGCAGTCATCTTATGGCTTACGATTTCACCAAAATATTTTATTAGCTCGCATCCTATCAAGAAATTTCAAAGTTCTTGATAGGATAATTTCCCAATTTTCCTCCTAAAGACGTCATCAGTCAAGCTAAAAAGACGCTCCACCGACGCGCTGGACGGAATGGCAGCGTTCAATTTGAGAAACAGGTCGTGCAGGGTCGGGTAAGCGAGTGTCGGAATCTTAGGTGTCTATGAAGAAACATGTGAGGTTTACCTCGAGTAGGGGGTCTTTTATAACAAACTTTTTTCCTTCTTTTTTTTCGGCAAGTTGAGATTGTTATGACTGGCCCTTTTAATATCTTCGACGTTCTGAGAGTAGGCTGAGCGAGTGCACCTGACCGTCAAGGGTTCAAATCTCGCGCTACGACTATGATATCGTCCGGACTAGGGAGCCTTCATGTACGCTTTGCTAGGGTGATGCCACCCTTTGTGATACCACTCGCCGACAAACCAGCAGCCATTTTGTTCCTCGGCGATAATCCGTGGGGCTTATAACCTTCCCGGAAACAAGCACCTTACCTCAGAAGTTCGGAGCAGCGTTGTGGAACCCACGGAGGGAGGATTAGCATTTTCCCCCTCGGATGGGATTACCGATGGACACAAAGGCCACTTTCCGGCGCACGGGGAAACAATGAGAGAAACAAAATGGCGGTGGAAGAGGGTGTGGGAAAGGGAAACAGGCAGTTGGCATCACTCTATGCGAAGCGCACATGAAGGCACTCTAGTCCGGACGACTGCGCGTCTCGTTGCCATGCTAGTACTACGCTACTGAAAAAAAATGTTTTGGTTTAACAGAAGATGAACCGAAGTATACTTCGCCGCTGACGCCGGGTCCAACAAAAGGATCTCCCAAGGGCAACTCACTATCCTCGACGGCGACTATGGTATCCTGACGCGCCTACAAGTAAATCGTTTTCAACAAAGAGGAGGTCTCCCTGGCATGGAAGGTCGGAAGGACGCGAAGGATTACGTGAACAAGCATCGCCGCTCGTACAGTTGCAGCTGGAAGAGGGAACGTGCTCCCATGAACGGATTATCCGTGTCTGGGTTGGTGCGCGGGGGAGTCCGGCTTTGCAAAGGCGTATGCACTGACGACGAGGCGACCATGGGAACAGGCGCCCAGCTGCGAGGTCATTACAGTGGCGCTTCCCGTGGAACCCCCAAACCGCTTGAGGCAGAACTCACTAAAGGCAGACAACATGAAAACAACAACAACCCTAGGAGTGTCTTTCATGGCTGCAGCTGGAGACGCGGCGCCTGAGTGCATTACCAGATTAGGTCAATACCCGTCCAGGGCGTTCGTGCGCGCCGGTGTTATGTTTTGGCTGTTCGTCGCCACCTTGGCCCAACGACGTCTGTGATGCAGTTTCTACGGCTGCCGAGTATACACCTTTTCCGTCTAACCTCGACCCAGCGTGTAACGTGCGTAGCTTCGACTCGGCGACTCGGCGCACAGCGGGAATAGTTCTTCCGGTTCTAACACTTCCGGTATGCGGGAGCAGGCCTAGCCGGCTGGCAAGATGCTGAAGTGGTGCGCGTTAAATGGGTTTTGAAGCCCTTGACAGCGAAGTGAGTTGTAATAAGGTGGGTTAATACGTCAATGTATCATGTCCGCGCATATTTGGTCATCGGGCTGCCACTGCGCAGCCGTTGGCTGCAGCAGCAATTTCCGAAAACGGAAGATAGCGCGCGACAAATTGTGCACCGAACACAAGAAGTCGCAAAGCGAATGCGGCTGTAACGTATACACTTTGCATCGCTTCCCCGCTAATATCAGCGGGTAAGCGATGCAGTACCAGCACATAAAAAAAGCAAATAGGCAGTATAGAAACGGACATCTACAAGTGCAGTAATAGGCCTCGACAAGTCAAATGTAGAACAAATTTTGCAGCTTGTGGTGCAAATGTAAGACCCTGGGTGTTATGATTGTTATTGGCTACTCGAGTTTTGTTTTTCATTCCGTTCATTCCTACGAGGATGTGCACTATAATTTTGTGTGTTGCTCGGTAGCGACGCCCGTTAAAATACGTTAATGCAAACAATACGAAAAAAGGGCGCAAAATCGTCGTCGTCGTCCTCCCCCCCCCCCCCCCCCCCCTTTTACCTCCACCTCCTGAATAGTTCCGACGCATCTGGGCGTCATACGAAGTAGAGATGTCCCAGTAACTAGCGATCGTACCTCGACGGTGCACCATAACAATAAACCGTTCGGCCCGCGTCGCCAACTCCCATTGTGAGTATTTCTACGATTAAACGCTGATACTTCTATGCCCAGGGTCGCCCTCGCTCGCGCATAGAAACCTTCCGTTAGTCATTCGCAGAAGGCTGTCATTCTTCACGAACAACAACACGCGAAGAGTAAACACTGGTAAACGTCCTCAGGAAAAGTGAACATGCCTCCGATTTCGATTACCGGCGACGCTGGCGACGAACCTCTCGGCGCTGTTGGCGCAACAACGGGCGCCATGAAGGCGAATAAACACGCCAGAACACAAGAATAATTTACACTTTCAATGACAAACAGATTAAGAACTCACTAAAGGGAAAACAATGAAGATACGATGCACGGGGTCAATGGGGACAACGCGGGAGCTAGGAACAACGCTGCTCTCCGCATACCAAAATGGGCGCACAACCGTACGCTAGACGGTGCGGCTGTCGCTGCAACACGCAAGATGGCGACGACTACGCAGAAAAGATGTGAGGGGACCCCTTTTTCGGGAATGCCACTTCCTCTGCCGGCGTCTTATTTTTTTCTGCGCTCAGACTTTCGTGATGAGCAAAATTAGCACTAGATTTCGAAAGTAGTTAGTAATTTGAGTAGAAGTTACCTGAAAAAAGTAGTTAAATTAAGCTACTAATTACCCAAATCAATTTGTAATTGAAAGTTATCAAATTGCTCGGAAAAGTAGTTAAACTACAGTAGTTTGAGTAGAGTAGTTGAACTACGTCCAAGTCTGCGTGACGCTACCCGCTTTCACGTAGAATGGCACGTGCGGTCCCTCAAACGTGAGTAGCGCCGAGCTAGATTTTCCGAGCATTCTTGCGTGCAGAATGCTGTAGCCGTTGACTGAGATAAGTTCTTTAAGTTCCTCTTCTGTTGTTCCTGCTTCTATTCCGTGCACCACTCCTCGTACGGTGCCCGGGAGCGGTTTTAGGTAAGGCATGAGTTCGTACAAGGCCGCGCCTAGCTGTATCTGGGTGATCATTCTCAGCTTCATGGCGTAGTCCTCGTCCGCGGTACTTGCGATGATCAAGTTCTGAGCCCATTGCGTCTGGATCGTCACATTCGAGTAGAAGTCTTTGAATGGAAAACCGCCTGCTGTGGCGATGCCTTGCGTGAGGCTTTTATCAGACCACGAAGAAAGCTTGAGGCCCGTTCTTGGTCTGTATACTACCTTGTATTCATCCTCTTGTAATGGTGGCAACATGCGTTTCCTTGGTGGCGTGTTGTTGCCTCCGCGGGTTCTTCCGTCCCCGCGTCGCTGTTGCTGCAGTTGGTTGTTGGTCGGTTGCATCTTTGGGTTGGTCAGCCCACTCGTCTCTTCTTTTAGATTCTGGGCGCTGTTCGCCTTGCTGTTTCCTTTTATGCGGTTCTCATCCGCTGTTTTCTGGCTTTTTCTTTCTTTGAGAACTTCGTACCACGGGCCAGGCTGGCTCAGCGTCCTGCCGCTGTTTTCATCAAACTCCATGTGCGTGCCGCTCGTTCTGGTACTCGCGCTGTTCTCCATGTCTATCTCGTTGTTCACTCCCTGCTTTGTTACTTGCGTAGGTATCATGCTTGCGGGGCCCGAAGGCCCGCGCGCAAAGCGGGTTTCGGCGTTGGGTCTCGCTTATTTCTTTCCCTCGGCGGGTGCCCCGTGTTCGAGTATAGCCAAGATGGCGACCGCTTGTATTCCTGGTGAGGCTTAGCTCTCCGCATACGAGGTAGATCTTTCCAAGGTGGAAATTTGACCAAAAAATTCACTCATTTGCACAGCTGTGGTATCCCTCGGTGCCGCTTTTCTTGGTGAATTGAATGACACTGAAGATTATAAGGATATTTTGGTACT